CCAGAGTTTTCGTTAACTCAGGGTATACTTACTCAGTTTTTCCACTAAACCGGCTTCCTGAAACAGGGCCCAGGAAGGCTGTTGCTCCAGTCACACCGCTAAATCAAACTTTTAATAACAGGCAACAGTGACAACAGTTACCATACGGAACAAGCTCAAATACATGCATTAAATAATCAGTGTCGATTATCACTAACAAACCTGCTAGCAGCAGCCGCCAATCTTAATTTTAACCCAAAGTAGTGTAGTTACATTGGTTTTGAAATGTGGGTGTAGATATGAAGGTTTTAAATTCAAACTACATTAAAAAAAGCTTTAAAAAAGTTATGATCACTACTATAACGCTATACAGATAATTATCTTTGATTTAATCAGAGTTCTGCCTTTGCCAGCATGTAGTCCAGTTGGTTTTATGTGAACACAGTTGTGCCAGTTTGTTTTTCTCCTCCCTACAACTGCAGTATTCAGGAACCTTCAAATATAAATTCATCACAATCATCAAATGTCTTGTTCCATTTAGGCATTTATTAAAGCAATGACACATTCACTGTTCAGTTTATTCACCTTTTAAGAGGTAGCTTGAAAACACAGGAAGTAGGGACAAAGGTTTAAGTACATTTCTCAAATAAAGATGATTCCATCACATCTAGGCCAATGAAACAGACAGATGACTAATGTTCAGCCACAACAACAGGAACAATCATGCATTTGTCTGTTATTTAGCCTCGTGTACATTAATGCTTGTACCATTGTATAATCAGACTTCAGCACCACATCATCTTGCTGTTTGTTATAACCCCAAGTGAGTGATGCCATAAACTTAGCAGTAAAGAGTTTACTAGAAAGCCGTTCTCATAATCTGCAAACCGAGCAATAGACATTTGGTGGCAGAACGTTGGTTTAAGGGATTTCAGCATTGGCTTCATTTTTCCAACCAGAATTTACAGCCATCTGTTCTCTTCAAAACACCACATGGGAAGCTTGCATCTCTTAATCATTGAGCTCAGTTGCAAGATAACCTCAGAATTATCCAACTCAAAATGTACACTTGCTGTACTCCAGTGTAAATGTGTGTCCAATATCACCTATTGATGCTGCTGCTTAGATTAACAGACATTAAAAGGCAAACATTTTGATTGATCTGGTTTTAAACCTTCAAATGAGGGATTAGAGAAAAAATAAAATAAAATAAAAACCCTGGTCTTGAAATCTAAAGCCCCTGTGAGGTTGAGGTATGCAGACAGAACTCCACATCCTGACATTTGCCGAAACTGGTCGATGTAGCCAAGATAGCAGTTGCATCCCCAAGTCATCCAAAACTGCCTGTCAGGATGCCTGTCGACACAAAACCAAAGCACAAGTATTACTATTATTATTCAATCTGCACAGTGAAGGTAACTGAACTATTCACAGCAGCATGTTTCAGGCCTTCAGTCAGGTTCTGGTAAATTGTTTTTACTTAAACCTGTGCCAAGTCCTGACTTTCTCTCCCAATACTAAGATTCTCCAGCAGAGATGAGCCAGTCTCTGTCAGAGCAGTACAAGATTGGGTTCACACCATTTCTCCACATCCTTCATGTACATCACACATACCTGCAGTCAGTCAGCATGAGCTCCTTGCAGCATAATGTGTTATTATTCACTAATCAGTGCATACAGGGCAAAAACTTAAATACAAGTAAAAGTTGTCAGTGAGACCCACCTTCAGTCTGTAGATATCAGTACCACAGATCCTCTGCCTGCAACACAACCACTATTATCTCATCTATTCGCAACAGCCTTTTGCTCAGCGCCAGGCCAGTCTCAGTGTAATAACTTTAGATTTCCCACACACCACCCACCAAGAAACTGATTTGAATTGTCCAAGAATTTCCAGCCAGTGTCTGTCTGGATGTTCTCCTCCCACAAATGACTGATCAGTGCATCCCCATCGGAAACTCATGCCACTTTGGATGGAGTAAAATCTGAGTAAGCAGCAACATCTAGCTGCTGTAATGTTGTGAGTCTGTGGCATCAGTTGGTCCCTGTTAACTACACTAGCTAAGAGTCTGAAGCAAATCTAGCTTAACATCAGTCTGAAATTACACCAGGAATGACACAGATGTGAACATGACAAGACTGCTAAATAGTTCAATGCAGAACACGTCTATAAACTGAATTAAATTTACCTTTACGCCTAAAGGCGAGCAGTGTGTAGTTCTACTCCACTGCCAACACTCAGCCATCATGTCTGTTTAACACTGGGTGCCAGCATGTCTGCAAGAGAAACCAGTGCAACATCAGGATAGTCTTCAAGATGACAATTTGTAGGTGTTCACATTTAAGGAGTTTTTAGTTTGTCTGCATCCTCAGACTCAAGACAAAAATCATATCATCTGAGAAGGGATCCACTTTAAAGTGAAAACTAATGCAATGGCACAAACCACATTCACATCAAGCCCTTTTTTCTACACTGAAGTCAGGGAGCACAAACGTGCCAATTTATTCTTATGTTGTCACAGTTACTTCTGCTAGCAGACTTATGTGGCAGCATATCTGTGAGAACAATGGAGAAATATGTAGTTGCAAGGGAATCCCCCCAAAA